TTCCTCGTCCCAGTATGAAAGCGTTCACTACATTTATGGCCGTAAGTGGTCTTGTGCCATCAATAGCAGCTGACTGGCAATTTCGCTCCCGACCTGACCTCGCTCCTCCGAGGCTTAACATCACCATCCCAGCTCGAGACTCGGTAGAAGAGGGGTACATTTTCGTCGCCCCCTATGCCGGCTTTGAGGATGGCAACAGCGGACCGAATCAACCTGGAGCTTACATCTTCCGTGATGACGGGGAACTCGTATGGTCTAGTATTGGCTACTACGCCGGCTGGGTTGCCAACTTTCGCCCTGATACTTGGAACGGGAAACAATATCTACGCGGTTTCCAAGGCCTCCTTGATGGGCATCACGGCCGCATGTTTGGATATCATACTCTTTTAGGTTCTGATTACGAAGTTGCCAAGGTGGTGCGAGTCGGGTCGCACAAGTTGGTTTCGGCCCATGAGTTCCGCCTGGTCGATGGTAAGACGGCTTTGATAGAGACACCTATCCCTAGACCCGTATCTCTCAAGCCATGGGGAGGAAGTCAAGAACAGAACTGGATCATTTCGGGTGGATTTCAAGGTATGTTGCTCATGTGTTCTCGAACTCGGCGGAGGTGTTCGAAGGCTGATTGGGATGACAGAAATTGACATTGAGACGGGCGAGGTCGTATTCGAATGGGAAAGTCTTGACCACGTTGACCCGAAGTGTACGTCATTAGACAGACAGCATGAATCTTGCGAACATTCCCATTTAACGCCTCATAGACAGCGCATTCCCGCTTGACTTTGGCGAAGGCCTCCCAGGAGGCGGTAAAACCGAGGCTGATGGGTGGAACTACTTCCACGTCAACAGTGTTGACAAAGATGATGAGGGCAACTACCTTGTCTCAGCACGTAACACCGCGGCCGTTTTCAAGATCAATGGCACAAACGGCGAAATCATCTGGCAACTTGGTGGGTTCCACGGAGGTTCTTCCTTTACCCTTCCCAAGGAAGATGTCTTTGGCTACCAGCATCACGCACGGTTCCGCAGTCGCTCGGCTGATGGAACTATGGAGGTAATTTCGCTCTTTGACAACGGCGCACACTCTGCATCGGTCAAGACAAACCCGTTCTCGCGCGGCCGGATCTACCAACTCAACCACACCGACGGCACAGCTAAAGCTCTGAAAACATACGACGCTCCGGATGGATTATCGGCCCGTACCCAAGGAAACTTACAGTTGCTTTCCAATGGAAATGCTTTCATCAACTGGGGCCAAGCGGGCGCGGTAACGGAGTACAGCAATGATGGTGACGTCTTGTTTCACGCCTACCTCGACTCAAATCCCGAGGGTCACTTGGTCCAAAGTTATCGCGGATTCCGATTCAATTGGACGGGCACGCCCACAGAGGAGCCGGCTATAGTTGCCTTCAGAGGTAAGGGCTCTGTCGTCAACGTATACGTGTCGTGGAATGGAGATACTGAAGCAGCATCGTGGCGATTCTCCTCTAGGAGTGCGGCGAAGAAGAGCCTTCGCCAACTAGGAGAAACCAAACGAGACGGCTTTGAGACACACTTTCAATTCTCGAGGGTTGGTGATGAAGAAGACTCGTTGGTTTTTGCTCAAGCTCTCAGTGACAGGGACAAGGTCCTCGGGCAGACTCGGGAAATAACGATCTCAAGGAATGAGTTATCGGTCCCTCCTTTATCGGTTCAGTGGTCAGAGGAGCTTTGAGCTTGTCTTCCAAGGTCTTTCAAAGCGAGTAGAGTACATCCGATAGAGGCTGAATGCCATCGACGACGGCAAACACGGCCAGACTTGATGTTTACCGGCAGATCAGTTGCCAAGAATGATTCTTGCAACTCTTTCGTTGCATGAGAGAAAGCAAAAGGTGACTACCCATTTGATTTAGAAACGTAAAGATCAAGCATGCATCTTTGCTACTAATGGCATCTCCTCCCGCCAAGGCATTGGCAAAAACAACGTATCCTGTCGGGTTTTCAAGTGCGGTCCGAGTCGATTGCGATGTTCTTGGTCTAAACATCTCTCGTGTAAATGAGTGGAGATCAGGATTTAGATCCATGAGGGTTTGGACTGCGGCTCTACTGGGCGTGGTCATCATACAGCAGCCAAGTCGTGCTTTCAGCCAGATTCTCGTCCAAATCAGGCGGTTCGGTCAACTCCCGACTACCAAGAGGTCTTGGTTTCTTGGACATCTTGGCTTGCCAAACCAACCTAGTCCTCTAATCAAGCCAGTATCGTGAAAACATGTCTATACACCCCACAGTAGGCCCATCACTTGCCAGTTTCTCGTCTTCGTTTAGCATCAGACCTTGTCACATTACCCGAATCTTCCCGAAATATCTCGGGGCCAAGAAAGTTCAGCCGGAGGCCGGCTCACGTATCGAGAACTAAGGACCTTCATACTGATCTTGGGGACTTCGTGAGAGATGCATGCCGAGTGGCCAAGCCTATTTCGACTTCACCGCGGAGACTCCACCGTGATAAGCCGCTATCTTGCATGATCCCCTACCTGCTTCTTGTTGATAGCAATCATTGCCGTGGGCCTCCGGGACACAGATTTGGATGATAATAACACACAGACATCTGTAATTTCGTTGAGAGGGGGGTGGGGGCAAATCGAGTCCCATGCCTGAACGTTCACCTATGGGTTCTCTGGACCCGGGGGAGACCCACCAGGAATCAGCTTGACTGGAGTATGGAGGCGGGGTCTGGGGAAGTTCCATTCTGGATGGCGGAGAAGCATGGGGAAGTGAAGCACAATATGGACATCGGAAATAGGCCCTACTAACCGAATTACGGCAGCTCAACGAGTATAAATCGAACAGTGAGGGACTCCGAAATATAAAGAGAGGCGTCCCCCCTACATTTCATTGATACTGTCTGCGCTATATAGCTGTTACTCATCGAGATCATTCATAATCATGGCCAATGAAGAGAGGTCCACAGCCCAGTCAGGCATCGGCACGCCCCCTCCCATTGGAAACGACAACGCCGCTACGGATCATGTCACCAAGAACCCCTCTCTAATGGAAGCTAACGAAGCCAATGGTAAAGGCGACCTTCTACCTACCCCCGAAGAACAGATCGAGGCTCTTGGTATCGCCAACTGGCGTGATCTCGAAAAGCAGGTCGTCAAGCGTCTTGACATGACCCTCATGCCATGCTTATGGGTACTCTATCTATTCAACTATCTAGACCGAGCTTCTATTGCGTAAGCCACTGCCTAAATGAGATGAGAAAGGCCAGTCTGTACTTTTGCTGATTCAACGTAACCGCTTCAGACAAGCTCGCCTTAGTAGCCTGGATGAAGATCTCAATCTTGAAGGCTACCAGTACGGGACTGCAGTATCGATTCTTAGTGTCGGGTGAGCGAATCAACCATTAATTCTACTTTCGTTCATGTCGACCTCTGACTTTGGAATGAAAGATACGTCCTCGGTCAAATACCGTCCAATATGATCATTGGAAAAGTGCGACCCAGTCTCTATCTTTGCTGTATGGCTTTGGTCTGGTCTAGTGTCTCGGCAGCAACCTGTGGAGTCAAGAATTACCAGGGACTCATTGCCGTCAGATTCTTCCTCGGCGCGGTCGAAGCACCTCTGTTCCCAGGTGTACGTTATCACCCAAAATCCGTCCACCTTCGTCCCTTAAGCATTCTTCTAACAGCTCTCCAGGCTATCTACGTCATGTCTTGCTGGTACACCCGAAAGGAAATGGCGTTGCGCTGCGCACTATTGTACACTGGCCAAACACTTGCTTTCTGCACCGCTGGTCTCATTGCAGCAGCCGTATTTGGAACCTTGGAAGGCAAGTATGGCTTGGCAGGCTGGCAATGGCTGTTCATCGTTTTGGCGTCAACTGGTGCGGGCCTTGCCATGATTGCTCTCTTCATTCTCCCAGATTACCCCGATTCCAATACTGGTAGCGCCCGCTGGTCTATGACGGAGGACATGCGCAAATTGGCTGCTGCTCGCATCCTGGCCGATCGTGTGTCAACTTCGGAAGCCAAAGCTGGCGTTTGGGCTGGCCTGAAGATGAGCATTTTCGACTACAAAATGTGGCTGCTTGTCGGCATGAACATCGGAATCTCAGCTGCATATGGTTTCTCAAACTTCTTCCCATCCATCGTACGGGGATTTGGCTACAACAACACCATCACTCTCGTTCTTACTGCTCCGCCTTATATCTTTGCGGCTCTTGGTTCTCTCGTGAACGCATGGCACTCTGATCGGCAGAAGGAGCGCGGGTACCATTTTGCCGGCCCCATAGCTTTTGGTTGTATCGGCTACATCATATGCCTGGCTACTGAGAGCAAGACAGCACGATACGCTGCTTCTTTTGTGTATGTTGGGGGCATGTACTTTGCAAACCCCCTCATATCAACATGGACATCCAACACCATGGGCAGGACGCCAGAGAAGCGAGCCATCTCCGTCGCACTAGTCAACGTGCTTGGTCAGATTGGCAACCTGATCGCTCCCTACTTCTTCGTTGACTCGGATGAGCCGCGCTACCGGCTTGCCTTCATCATGATGATGGTTATGGGCCTGATTGCGTGTACGAGTGCCATGGGCCTAAAGTTCTACCTTTACAAAGCGAATCAGAGATTGTACCGGGAGGCCGTTCGCAACGGAAGCGTGTATAATCCTTACGTTATGTAAGAAGAGGACGTGGTTGCCACACTTACATATGTCACAAGAGTTTCGCCGAGAGATAGCTTTGCATAACGTTTGACCTCAAATACCGAGATATTCACGGGTCCAATGCTGATAATAGCACACACGACAAATGAGTGACTGATGCAATACTTCGCTCCCTTCTCCTCTCTATTTCTGCCAAGTCGTCAAGCCACGGTCAATGACTATGTGCTATTGTCTGTACTTGCACCTAACCAGTAAAGGCACTTTCTGCCAGATCAGGTACGTCTTTTGTCTCAAAGTCCATTTCTTTGACTCCTCAGTCAGTTCTAGATCAAAATTCCAAATCAACTTGGCCAATATTATGCGCAGCTCTGCATAGGCCATGCTAGGGAACATGGTTAGAAAGCACATGGGACGAAAGTAATGCTGTCTTACCTCTTGCCTATACAGTTTCTAGGACCATAAGAAAACGGCTGACTCGCAGACTTATCGTCGTTGGCAAACATACATATGTCGCTCTTTTCTAGCCATCGCTCTGGAATGAACTCCCTTGAATTAGTCCAATTCTGTTCCGAGTGACCAGCGGAAAGCTGATGAACGCCAACTGCCGTCTACGATAAGAATGTTAGCGGCTTGCTTCTATCGCCTTCAGTGACAATTCGTCGCGGATCAGACTCACGCCCCCAGGAACCCATTTCCCATCAATCTCCTCACCGCTTCCAGGCACAAATCTCGGCAGAGCGCTTGGGCTGGGGGGATATATCCTCAGCCCTTCTTCGATGACTGCCTTAAGATACTTCAACTCCCCTGTCGATGCCATTGAGATCTCATCTTCGGTCTGAAATGCGGTTCTGATCTCTTCCGATAGTGCCGTGTACGTCTTTGGACTGCTACACAAGTAGAAGGTGATGCCAGAAAGTGCAGTGGCTGTCGTGCCACTGCCGGCGACAATGAAAGCTGACGCCATCCTGACCAAATCGGCATTGCTGAGGTCAGCTTGTGGGTTTTCTAAGATGTAACTCATAAAATCTCTTTTATTCTCGGATTGTTGAAGTCGGCGTTTGACTTTGCCGGCAGTCAACTCGCCATGTCTCTTCAGAGCCAGCTTTTGGGCCTTTGGGGCGAGCCATTCTAGCCAGGCTTCAAGTCCATAGTAGATAGCGAACTGGTATCGGACAATTCCCTGCGCTCGAGCACCAATGACTTGCAACCATGGTTGGAATGCATCGTCTAGACACCCAGCCGCCTGTCCAAATGCCAGGTCGCTAATGATGTCAAAGGCAGCAAGGCTAAACCATTTGACCATGTCCTGAGGAGCTCCGTTCTCGCTAGAGAATCGTAGTTGTTTCATCAATTTCCCTGCGTAAAGCTGGAGGATATCCTCCTGCTCTCTTAGTGCACGGTCGCTGAAGGCTGGCAAAACTGCCTTACGAAGTCGAGAGTGAGGCTCCTGCTCGGCCGTCACGATGCCGCCATTGCGAATCGCTGGGTTAGTCACACTAGGCCCAGCGATCCCCCTTCCGTCAAAACATTTCGCAAACTCTGGTGACCTCTGACCATATATCTTTTTCCAGGCCGTAGAACTCGTGTAAGACAGCTCATCAGGTGCAATTCTGACAACTGAGCCATACTTTTCGTGGAGCTCGCGGATTTTCCAAGCGAGGTTGCCTTGAAGGCTGACAATGTTCCACGGTAGTCGAGAAGCGGCCCAAAGTCGAGGCCCAGGGTAGCGGCTTAAAGGATGGAAATAAATGTTATAGATGGTTCGAGATGCAACAAAAGCAGAAAACTACGCACTGTCAACAAATGCAAGAATGCAGCAGTAGAAGTCCTGATCAACTAACAAAAAAGCTAATAAGGAGTAGTACCAGCCCAATATGGGAGGCGCAGAGCGCATTGTAACCGTGGATTAATTGCATGAAGGCTTTCTCTCGTAGAGGAAGAGAGATCTCCCTTTCAGTTGAGAACCAATGTTAACTGACACTGAATGCAATAGTCCCTTGGCATTGCCAAGACTCGTGGCACAGGAATGCTTTTTATTCTCACCATCAAAAAGCTGTTATGGTACATCATGAGTCAGGAGACGCTTTCAGCTGAACGAACAGTGAGGCTGCCTTGTAGAACGTGGGCGGCTCCTGGGTTTTGATTCATTGCATAAACCATAATCATCCCTGCAGTGGGTCCGCAACTATTGGCTGTATTGTGGTATTGGTGACGATTACGGACACAACAATTGCAATACATTAAATCTAACAATTATCTCAGTCTATGGGTATCATTTTTCCTCATCTTCCTCAAAGAAGTGCACGACTGATGGTGCGAAAGTGGCGTTGCCATTAACGTTTCCTCCGTACTGCAAATATCCAGCCGCATCAACAGCGGGAATGCCGGTAATGTCTTGGTAATCTCCCATGACCCAAACACTCTGCATGCCCATAACCATGTGTTGCAAAATATGACAGTGAATCTAGGCTTTGGTCAGCTCATGTCTAGCAAGTCTTGTGGAAATGAAGCAGACTTACCATCCATACACCGGCGTCCTCCACACGCAGACGCCAGCCTCTCCACCCGGAAACATCGCCAGACTTTGTCTTCTCGCCATATCGATAAAGGTTTGTTGTGTCTCGCTTGACTGGATTGTAGTTCTTCAGCCGCTCCTCGTTCTCGGTGCTATTGTAAGTTCCATTGCCACTGCCAATGTCCCAGTAATGTCCGCCATGAGCATGAAAGGGATGGAAGTCGAGGCCACCATTGCCATTAACCAGTGATCCAGTGTTGTGCCAAATAATCTCGAGAACCTTGGATCATGTCAACTCAATATTCTATTGAGTGAAACAGAACAGCATCAAACACTCACCTCGCCCATCTTTGCCGGCCATGTCAACGTAGTCGGATCCCAGCCGTTGTTGTTCATGGCGGCAGTGTAGTTCGGAATGGCAGACGGCCCGTTCTCGTAGATGTTGATCAGGTAGGGCTGATCTCCCGCATAAGGCGTCGAAGTCTCGTTCCATTGCAGTCCGTTGAGCTGCCAAAGGGTAGTCTGGGTCGCGAGTTGACGATTATCGATGTGAATTTGCCGAGTTACTTCGCTAGCCTGGGGGAAATTGTTTGGTACCAACGGTTCCAAGGCATACTCTGCCCATTCATACGTCTTGTTGGAAAGTGTCAGAGGAGGAGTGACTGGAGCTGTTGTAATCTGCGGTTGTGCCTTGGAGTATCGTAGTACGCCATAGCCCTGGTACACCTTCGGACGGTCTTTGGTCTCCAACTGAATAAGGTAGTCGGTTTTCCCGTTTAACTCTGCCTCGGTCTTAGTCTTGAAGATGACATCAAAACGCTGACCCGAAGTCAATTGCATGAACTTCTCAGTGTGAGGTTTGGTATAGTGACCATCAGCTTCGATGATGGTAAAGTTGTCATGATCCACGATGCCTACTTGCACCATGGACAATGCCGTAGCACCAATGAAGCGCATGCGATAAGTTTTTCCAGGCTCCACGTCGATGACTGGTAGCTTGCAGTTTCCATTTCCGGCAGTCTCCCCAACAGAGACTCCGACGCCGTTGATGAGGACCGCATTCGTTTCGCCAGACCAGGTGAAAGGCGTTGCCACGAGGCCCTTCTCGATAACGGTGTCCGTTTTGTTGAAGTAGTCGGTGAGGAAGACAATCCTCTCCTCATCATATGCATAGGGGGGCTCGGCCTTGTCCTCAATGATCAGTGGGCCAGAAGCTGTCATAGCCTGGAAGCCGACATGAGAATGGTAGAAGTAGGTACCGGATTCGGATCGTAGGGGGTAGACCTCGTAGTCGAAGAAATGATCAGGTGGAATAGGCCACTGGGTGGCGGATGGGCTACCATCAGAGAAAGGTGCCATGCGCATGCTCAAACCATGCCAGTGGATGGTTGCATTGTGGTCTGGCATATCATTGTAGACTCTGATCCAACTTCTTCGCCCAGGCTTGAGTCTGAGCGTCGGCCCGAACAATGTGCCATTGATCAGGGCCGACATTCTTGTCTGGCAACCAATTGAGACGTTTTCGTAGGTCATTTTCAACACAAAGTCCGGCGTAAAGCTGGCACCATGCTTCTGTCGACCTCCATAGTGACCTGGGGGCCCGTGATCCGACTTGCGCGGGCCCCAAGCAGAGACCTGCGTAAGCAGGGCAAAGAAACAAAGTACCGAAACGAACGACTGCATCATGGTCAATGAACGCACAGAGGAAAGAGGAGGGTGTGGGAGCCGAGTACGTCGAGCAGAATCTGGCAAAGGGCCTCACTTTAGATGTATGCTCACGAACCCCCTTACTCGGCGCCCTGTCTCAGAGCAAAGATGAGGGAATGCCATCATTGAGTTAGCCTTCTGCGCTACCCATTCCAACATCACCGTGGGCATTCGTAGCCCCTCTTCGTTCATTCCACTAATAAAGTTACCGTTGCGTTCACCCGCCGAAGCGTTGGCTTCGTTCCTCGTCGGCGGTACACGCACACGTTGCCGGCACTGCAGGTCAAGCGGCCCTGTGCCGGTTTAGCCCCGCGATGCAAACCTAAAATGTGATTGTTTCCAATCGGAACTCCCTAGTGCTGCGAATGCGAAGAGAGTGGGCTTGAGTAGCGTTGTTGGCTTTGGAATAGACTTTGGTTGATCCTTGTACTTATTTCAAATTCCAATTAAGCCTGTTTCTTTGTTTGATGGTTGTTCCCGAAAGTCCGTCTCGAAGCTATGTTCTGCATTCGGCCACCTCGTGTCCGGAGTTCTCGGACTTGAAGTCAAGGGTCTCTTGAGATCTGCGGGCGCTTATTAGATTAGCGTCCGCCCTAGCAGGCCAGCTCACCTGCAACTGCACGCCAAAGGAATTCAACAAGCCCTATAAGGTTTGATTCGACTACGGCGTAGGCCGACCCCAGATTGGGTTCAAATGAAGAGTACCAAAAAGTCACATATCAAGAGTCATGCTCGCCTGCTAACCTCTGTCATAATCCGACAAAAGTCGATGATCATTTTGACACATCGCCTTCGCCGACGCTGGAAAGCACCTAGCGTCTCTGGCTCTGGATTGAGGTGGATAATTCTGAATATTTACGTGAATATGCAGTTGGCCATACTTTCATCTGACTCGAGTGAGCGCGGAGACTCCAACAACATTACAAGCCACCCGGAATCAGTCTTGCCTAATACGATGAAACTCATCGAGAACATTAGGGAATTCCATTCCATCAGGGATACCTTCGACGAGCCAAATCACGGATCCTTCTTGATCGAGGGTTTACACCTTGCCATGTACTTCGAATTGCCTGCCAAGAGGGGAGAATTGACAAAGAGGACAAAATGGACTGCTGCAAAGCGGCCACTTCCACACTTAGTTGACTGAAGACAACTTCGAGGAAGAGGTGAGAATACGGCATGCATGCATTCCTGATAACAGGAATGCCTCAATTTCACTAACCCTTCCCAAACCCCCGGTTCTTAGATAAGTAGCCGGCACCACAAATCTATGCAAAGGGTTACCGAGCCTGCTCGATGGAAAAGTGATGTTACCAAATAGCAGCCGGCTATCAGAAGGTTCCACGGTTCAAGACTGAAAGCGTCATTTTAATCCACAATTTGATGCAATATGTGTTAGTTTCCTGTTGAGTCAAGGTCGCCTAATTGGGGCTTGAGGGATCCAGCCAACCTAGTGACCTTGTCAACGGGACTCTACACATCGGAAAGCGATTCATGACGCACTTGAATCTCGAATTACACAAATATGTATGCAACAGATCATCCTCGCAAGTACTTAATAGATTACCATATGGCTCAGGAATCTAACTTGAAAAGCACGCACATTTTGGTTAGAAGAGGCCGATCCCATTCATGAACTCTCGGATGTGGGAAGTTTCAATAATGCTAGAAGGTTAATTGGAGACAGAAAGGGTCTGTGACCATTGTTAAATAGACAACTACGCTACTTCAGTCACATAACCTCTCAGGAATCTGCTTTAGTATAGTACAATGGAGTTGGCTGATAGAAAGCTTTACATGAAGACGTATTTACAAGAACCAATGATGACATGTTAGAATGTGGCAGTATTTTGTTTATACTGCCACACTTGCAGGGGTATATCAGCCTGCACAAGTTGACTGAGCAGTGAGCAGTGTCTCCGTACGTGTTAGCTGGTCTCAACGTCTGCGGTCTTTTGGTCTTAAACGCTAAGAGTGCGGTTGTAAGCCCACAATAAATTAATGACAGGACTTTGACAGTATTCTCAATAGTGAGGCTTATGTAATAAATATGGGCTGGAAGATGGATTTTAGCTCGCCTATGTTTCTTAAGGCGAAGGCGGTGAGAATTTATCGATCTCAAGATCTCAAATCTGTTCAGGCAATACCTAGACAGTTTGGCAGCCGCTTAGTAATGAAGTACTGTGAATAGTGCCGTTCAGGCGCTCGCGCCTCGCGTTTAGTGCAATGAGTCCGAGAACACGACGTTAGCGCCTCGCCACCTCACAGTTCGGGAGGAATACTACGCAAAGATGCAGAGACCCGCTGTATTGGCGTGAAAGCGAAAATCACACTGCTCCAGGTGTCAAGTGACGGTTTTCTGAAGAGAATGTGCTTCTCATTCAAAGCTATGGAGTATCAAGTAAGAGCGTCCGCTTTGAGATGCGGGAGCAGCCGCGTCACTAGCGAGAACTTTGTCAATGTAGCATGAACATTAGGAACAAGCTGTCCGTATATCGCAACGCCCTTTTCAGGGTAGAAGCAGGTATCAAGGGTTCGGTGGCGTATTACGTAGGAAGATTACTCACAGCGCCGTTCGTAACACCGAGTCGCCAAAGGAGCTCAAAGTATCCCGAGCGCAAGCCCGAAAGATCACCAGTGCCAAGATCTTAGTCTTCATGTCCAAGATGGGCTACTGATATCTGTAAGCATTGTCGCCTTGCGTCTTTCCCACCAATACGCGAGCTTTGGTACCCGGATGACACCTCATGTGCAAGTTGGACAACGCTACGCGCAGCGGCTCAACTGGAATATCAATTAGCCATACGCACTTTTAAGCTTCTGATTGGATGCTTAGTTGCCCAATCGTTATATCAAGTTGCAAGGGGCCCCTCGGTTCCACGTAGCGGCTGTTCTGGCACTTCACGACGAGTGTCTCAGTCGGGGGAATACGCCTTCAACCATGAACAATCACACCGTGTCTTTGCTCGGTCGCCAAGCCTGGTCAGCAAATGTATCCATACGTGCTTTCAACAACCAACCAAAATCTTCAATCGTCGTTCAGTCCATCCCCACGCGTTGCGAATGGCCCATATTTGTTACTACACGATGCATGGTTTCCATTCATGCTTCATAAGCAAATGGTGACATCGCGAATGATCATAGACTTATGAGCACGTATTTATAAGAGGCCCAAGAGCCATTTGTTCCTGGTTGCGAAGTTTTTCTAGATACAAGTGATCAATCACATTTTACGCGATGACGGTCAACAAATCAAAAGTCACTCAACATGCTTCAGAAAGCAATCCTCTCATTCTCATGGCGGCCTTCCCCGGAGAAGGTCATACCAACCCGCTCCTTGTCATCGCAGCATACCTCGTCAAGAAGGGTTACGAAGTTGTGTTTATTACAACTGAAGACTTCCGGAACAAAGTCGAAGAGACGGGCGCCGAGTGGGTTCCTACCAACAGCCCTATGACCAACACGACCTACCAAGCCCTCCGCGAAGCAGCTTCTTTGCCGATTGGTCCGGAGCGGTTCGCTGCGCAGATCAAAGCTGTTTTCTTGGAGACACTTCCTCCACGAACGCTAAAGATGGAGGAGGTTCTTTCCCAATTACAAGCACGGAATCCAGACCGCCAGATCATTGTTGTCGAAGACATTTTCAACTGGTCGCTCTTTCCTTTCAGACATGGCCGTCCTCTGCCTCAAGGCTTCAATACGGCGCCCAAGTCTATTGGCATCGGTGTGGCAGCTTTTATGATGGAAAGTCAAGACACGGGACCAGTCTCGCTTGGCTTGCCCGCTGACGCCACCGACTCAGGTCGTCAGCGCAATGCGGTTCTCCAACAGTTGGTTGAGCGAGGCCCAATGAAACCTATGATCGATGCGTGGCAGCAGGCCATGAAGGATACTGGGTGTACGGCCATCCTAAAGACAAACATTTTCCGTTCGTGCTACACGGCGCATGACTATACGTTGCAACTTTGCTCTCCCAGCCTTGAATACAACATTTCGGACTTACCACCATCTGTGGAATTCGCAGGTGTCTTGCCTCGTAAGTCCGCTGCTCCAAGCTTTCAGTATCCTTCATGGTGGTCAGAGGTCGAGAGAGCTCAGAAAGACAATCAATACCGGCATGTGGTCTTCGTCTCCCAAGGTACTGTCAATATGGATTACTCCGAACTCGTTCTTCCAACAATCGAAGCCTTCTCTCAAACTGAAGACATCCTCGTTGTTGCAACCTTGGGTGGCCGTGGCGCTCAACTCCCTCATGGCTTTGTCGTTCCCTCGAACGCTAGGGTCGTGGACTATATGCCTTACGACATTATGCTTGAGTATACCGATGTATTTGTCTCCAACGGGGGATATGGCGCCTTAACACATGCTGTGAGGAACGGTGTTCCCATTGTACTAGCAGGAGAAAGCGAGGAGAAGATTGAAGTTACTATGCGGGCAGTTTACGCTGGCCTTGGCGTCAGTCTATCGACCCAGAGGCCTTCGACAGATCAAATCAGGCTTGGAGTTGACCGTATTTTCCAAGATACCAAGTTCAAAAAGGCGGCAATGAAGCTAAAACATGAGAATGATGGCATGGATGCATTAGCAGCGGTGGAAAGAAAGGTTCGTGCACTCACATTGTGAGGCCCGAAGGAGTCAACCGGTGTACAACGTGACTTTCTCAGCTTTACCATTCAGAACAAAGATCCCCTCCACTTGATACAATCTATTATACTATCCGCAAACTCCTCCTCTCTTCTCAATAACAGCAATTAGCACGCCTTTTATCATGCCGAATTGATTGTCAGCCATATCGCCTTCAGCTATGTTGCGCTATATCTCAACAATAGCGACTAGATTTAGCCTCTTGTTTGCCTAGTTGCGTGCATCATTGAACCTTTTTGAAGTTCTGGCCTTGCCTGGTTTTTGCGTTTACGCCAGCTCGTCTTCTTTGAGAATCTCTTATGGTTGTTTTTGTGCTATTGCTAGCTATGCTATTT